GGGCAAGATTGCAAATAAGCACCACCACCACATGCACTCGTGAGTCGTGACTGCAAGCTGTGCAAGCGAGTCATAGCGCTGTTGAATCAGGGAGTGTGAGTGCGAGTGCGACAGATGTATGCTGCACAAGATGCTGCTGCCCATGCGACGACGCACAACCCATGCGCTCGTCGCTGCGCCCATTGTACCTTGGCGGTAGCGCAGCGCAGACTGTGGGTGGAATTCTGATTGATTTCTAATTCTCGCTTCTCCGCGGCATTCACCTCGTCATTCAAATGATTTCAGATTCCGATTCAGATTCAAATTGAAATTGTCGTGTGACGTGACCAACTTTGACTGTGCACGCGCGCACGACTCGTCTATATGAAAGGCCGCCCCAGCGCCTGCTGCATGCACGCGCGCGCATACCATACGCCTCAAGCACGCTGCAATCACGCGCCAATCCTCAATCAAATCAAATCAAATCCTTTTTTGACCTTGGCGCTCGCGCGCCGCGCTCGACGGGCCAGCAGCTGTATCATCTTCTCGCACGCCAAGAGGGTTGCCGCGCACGTGACATCACCTACTTGCTCAAATCCAACCCCAGCATTTTGTTCTTTCCGAAGCTTGCCACCCTCGAAAGTCTTGCAAAAGTGGGAGGGCCCGGGGCGCTGCGCAATACCTCGTTCATATCGCACACGAATCATGGGCAGGCAGCGACTAGAAATGGGTGTACGTACGGTACGCGCGCGGTCTTGACGATGTGTGCGCGAGAATCAAATTGCTCTGGGCATTTTGCGCGACGAAGCATATCAATTATGACCGCTGAGACGATCACGATGAGCGCACGAAGCGGGGGTCGGCTGCGCTGGTTGAGCTTACTGCGCGGGGTTGACCGCTGTAAATAATGCATATAGGCTGAACGCATGATGGCTTCGGCAATTTGAATGCGCAGGAAGCCCCATGCACTCGTGACTGTCCGTCGGCCTGTCATGTTACGCTGCATGTGAGTCACAAGTAGTCTCGAGACAAGTCGAATCACGTGAATTAATCAACGATGTGAAATGGAGCACGTGCGTCGGGTAGGAGAAGCGGAGTCATGATCGATATGCAGTCAAGTTTGACGAGTTGTCTTTCGTGTTTGACATGTCTGAGAAAAGTGCCAGTCGTGAGTGAGTGTGTACGTGCAATCGCCACTCTTGCATCAC